GTTCTATTTAGCTCAAACCAGGACAGTATTGTTCAGCACCAGTGTGATGCTTGGTGTAGAAGGAAATACTACTACAGGTAGGATTCTAGAGTTGGGTCAGATCCCTTCCAAAAAGCTAAAAGCAGTGCTGGATTGAGCATGATTTTGATGATTCAGATGTAGGGGATTTGTTTAACTCATTAGCCTGAGGGAGAAATGTAATGCAAATTTCCAAGAAAATTACTGAAGAGGAAATTTAGGTAGAAAATCTTATTGTTAGGGAAACAATTATTATATAAAGAGCCTGAAAACCAATGGATCATAGACTATTGTCAGCAGTAAAGGTATCACCTAGTCTAATTTGGGAAGTGCTATGTTGACTGACTAAGTGCTTTATGTGAAATGAGGTGATTTCAGCTCCACTTAGAGAGCACACATTTGTGCAGCACAGTTGGCACCTAAAAGTGCAAATTCAAAAAAAACACAGCACACCAAAAACAAACAGAAAATACCCACAAACAAAAAAAAAAAACCTCAAAAAAATCCAACCGGAACAAAGTGAATGTGGACAATGTGTTGTAAATTTGCAACCAAAGTAATTTGTTGCAGTTCAGCCAAGAAACACACTTGTGAAGGTGGCCTTGCAGCAAGAGCCTGCCTGTTCTGGAAATTAGATGTCTGTGTCTCCAGTGTGGGCTGTCCTCCACCATCCCTGGCACTGCCTGTTTCCAAAATGAGGAAAAAAATAATGTCAATGAGACAAGACTTGAATAAATTTTTGGGGCAGAGAGAGATTGTGTTGGTCTTTCATGGTCAATAGCTCTGTTCGCATAGGGAACAATGGCATCTGAAGGAGAGAGCACGCATGAAGCTTAAAATTATTTTTCACTTTAAAGGGGGAAGGGTAGAATTGTAAACATATGTCTGTGATCTAAGGAGAAATCCTTGAACCTGTTACTGTCATGCAAGCTGCAGTTGTTTGTGGAGTGTGACTGATGTCCAGTAGAATGTAAAATATCTGGAGCTGAAAGGCCTTGGGGATATCATTAGAAAATGTCAGTGTCCCCCTCAAGATAGTCAGATAGCATGTCAAGTGTCACTTTGCCTGATGGTAAAGAAACTTTTTCTTTGCATCAAAGGAGAGCTGTTGAAAATGCATTTTTCAGGATTAACTTAGAACATAAAATTTACAGAGTGTGCTTGCTGCATTAGGCCATTTGTTTGGGTACCTGGTTAGCAGACTGGGCTGCTTTTCTAACAAAGGAAGTTTATCAGTATCTCACAATCTTCTGGGGCATTGCATTTATTGGTCGAAGTAACCTAGCTCCTCTCCTATTTAAAAGCCTTTCTCTGCAATGAATTTCTTTCTGCCTGAAAAACACCAGTCCAGTGCATTGCAAATTGAAGATTTTCCCCTCTGCCTGTTTTTGGAGCTCTACTTCGTACACAGTGTTATTTGATCATGCTTGCTGCAGGCTTTCCAGACATCAAAGCACAGTTGGAGACAGAGCTCAGTACCCCACTGTAATACTAGCTAGATAGCTACCTGTTTGATTGGAATTATATGATTTATTTTATTTTATGACTTGCTGTTTGCTCCCCGTGGGGGGTGCCTTGTGTGCATTGTATCCGTGTTCAGCTGGGGTTCCTTACAGCCCAGTTATCAGAAGAGGACCTTGCTAAAATCTGCCCCCTCCTGGGGGATGTTCAGGCACAGTCTTAATCACTTTCCTAGGAAGGCTGTGCAAACAACGTTATCATTATTGGTTTTAAGTATTTTTGTGATCGTTGGGTGTGTTAAGAGTGTAGTGTTTCAGAGTGGATAATAATAACTCAGTGCTATGTGAACATTAAAAGAGGCTCGTGTGTCTCAGTTAGGAAAGGGGATTAATGCAAAAATACTTAATTATTAAGAGCAGAGCTATGATGTGGAACCAAATACAGATGGGTGTCAAATAAGCTGATCTGGCCTTTCCCAAGTTCTGGGTTACAAAAGTGATGTGGCATATGTCAGTGTTCTGCTGCTGAGAGTTTAGCAAATGAGCAGAAGGCTTCCCTGATTTGTGCTGAGTCTCTTCCCTTTCCACCTTTCAGTCTGGTGGAGAAAATAGGAGAAAATCTAAGGGGGAGGAGGAGATGGGCGCATGATAGCTCTGCAGTCAGTGAATAGGTTCCCTCCTTTCCTTCTGGAGAGGTGGGCGAGGGTGATGGGGCATTTGGGGATTAAGTGCAACAAAGACAAACAGTTCCTTAATCCTGTCTCTCTCTTTCTTCTCCCTTCACTCCATACTTTTCATTCCCTGTTATTCATACCTTTTTTTTTTCCCCCCAAATATTTTTATTCATCCATGCCCTTTTATATTTCCATGGGACACTGTTTTGTGCTCTGTCTGCTCCTGGGCACCGCACACAGCTCACCCTTTCTTTCTCCAATCAGGATGGCGGCCTAGTGGAAGAGCCCACTACTTCACCATTTTTGCCTTCACCAAGCCTGAAGCTCCCCCTTTCAAACAGTGCACTCCCTAATCAGACCCTGGGCGGGATTGCCTCAGGGCTGGGCATGCAAAACTTGAATTCTTCTAGACAGGTAAGGCTGTTGGGGGAGATCCCAGGTTGAATTTCAGCTCTCTTGGACTTGCTGCTAGTGCCCATCAAGTGATGCCCAGCAAGTGCCTGGGGGAAATGGTGCTTTAAACTGGATGGGCGTGCAACATCTTTGTTCACGTGAACATCTTTGTTCAGTGGAGAAACTACCTGCTGTGTAAGCGTTTCACGTTATAGGACATAAAACAACTGCGTTGTTGTAATTAGTCTGCTAATTACATGCATCCATTGAGAAGAGACTGATTTATACCACTGAACCCTGGTATAGCTCTGCCTTGATTGATGTGAGGCTTCTTTTTTTTGAGGCGTTTCTAATTGTCACAGACTCTGAGGCAGAGGCATTGCTCTAATTCGTCTTCTGGCTGGCATAATTATTCAGTGATGAGATGGGTGAGAAGTGATGGGGGCTTTTTTACTCCTGCTGTAAGTGTCAAGGCAGCTCATAGCTTTGACAGGTGGTAAGAAAGGAGCCGTGCTTCTAGCACCTCTGGTCAAACAGAGCATTGCGGCAAGAGGGATGTTTTGGCCCCTGGGTAGAACGTGCAGAAAGGGAAAGAAAAGGAAAGAAAAAGAAAGTAGATGGAGGGGAAGATTGATAAACACCATGAGACTCAGGGGCCATAGCTACTGTTGGTTATGGAAAGGTTATTTTTGCCATATAAATTGAAGCTCCAGCAAAGAAATAACAACACAGAAAAACTATATATATATTTATAATTCTGTGGTAGCTTTTATTATGTGTATTCTTTTAAAGTTAGTTTTCTAAAGGCAGTACTTGTCCAGCACTTACAGCCAATTAAGCATATCTTTCAGAAGCGGAGACTGCATTAATAGCATGTCCATTATCAGTTGCATTGTAACATGACTAAGTATAAAAACTGCCTAGCTAATTTAACATGGGAATGCTGAGAGTTTAATGACTCCATTCTCCTGTCCCTTGCTCTACACAATTACAAACATATTTGACAAGTACTTTTCGTTGTTCATCTTGTGACCCTCTAGAGTTATGCATCCTTATAAAAGTGATCTTCAACTTGAGCTACCCTTTGTTCAGGCATCCGTACAAAGTTTAGGAGGTATGGGATGTTGGGTACGTGCTGATCTTTGCCGTGCTTGATTCTAAGCCTGATTGTCAGTCCAGTCTGTGTGTACTGGTTTCTTTATCCCTGCCTGTCATAATTACTGAGGATAAAGACTGCACAGATAAGTAGCTTTCAGGTCCTACATTGAGTGATGTCTTTAAATGCTGGTGTCTTTCTTGTCCTGCTCTAGATACCGAGTGGCAATCTGGGTATGTTTGGCAATAGCGGAGCAGCACAAGCCAGGACCATGCAACAGCCGCAGCAACCGCCAGTGCAACCTCTTAATTCATCCCAGCCTAGTCTTCGTGCTCAAGTGCCTCAGTTTCTATCCCCTCAGGTTAGACGACGCTTCCACTCTTGAGTTTTCCCTTTCCCTGGAACTCTCCCATATAGACTCTCCTCTCCTATGCAATGTTCTGTCTTGCTCCTGAGGCTTTGCAGCACCGTTGCTTGGCTGTGTCTGCTGATTTATTGACTAGCCAGTAAACATGTTATGTGGGTAGCCGGTCTCTGTGCATATTCTCTGTGTATATTCTTTACATCATTGGGTGAGCACAATCTTGTATCCCTTTTTGCAAAAACTAGTGTTTCTAGAGTTTGTTCTCAACTTTTTTTCTAAAAATGGATGTTAGAGTATGTTTATTAAGATTTGTACTAGAACTTGTTAATTTTTTTGGTAGTTCATGATACTACTTCTGGTAATAGTATTATTTTCCAGCGGATTTCTTGTGACTCTTATTAATGGCTTACACAGTTGCCAGTGCTAAAAGTAAGTGTACAATATTTAATACACTGCTCTTTTTTAGGTTCAAGCACAGCTTTTGCAGTTTGCAGCAAAAAACATTGGTCTCAGCCCTGCACAGTTAACCTCGCCAATTAATAATCCTCAGCATATGACGATGTTGAACCAGCTCTATCAGCTGCAGCTGGTAAGTCAAAAGACATGGCAAATGAGCTCTAAACCAGAATTGAAGACATAAAGATAAAATAAGAGAATGACTAACTAAGTTTTTAAATGGACATGGCACATTTTTAAGAAAAACAGATGCTGATTTTTTTGGTAGAGTTTCTTTTTAAAGAAGCAAAATCATGGGATTTGCCTCAGGCTTTCTAAATAGTCATTTGTGGAATAGTTATCCTTTACACCTGATCAGCGGAACTAAAAAGTAAGTTGTCTTCATACTGGTATGATTAACGTAGTATATTCCCAAGCAGTGCTAATCTGTGTATTACATACAAATATATGCAACTGGTTGACCAACTGGGAGATTTGTGTCACAGCATAACAAGGGAGAAATCTCGGCAGTGCTGGTCTCCAGTACCTGGAGAACTTCCTTCAGTTGCCTCACTGAATAATGAAGTGTAGGGTAAATTTCATGTAATTAATGGAATGTTTATTGAGCTCCTTGTTTTTGAGAAGTTGCTGTATTTGCAAGTTTTACATGTATTTGTGTGTGTGTATAAAAATATTTAATGGGATTTAAAAAATATTTTTTAAAGAGATATTGCTAACAGTAAGTCAATATTTGCTAGGGTTAAACATAAAATTGGAGATGACAAACTAGCTTAGTCTCTGATCTCAATGTGCTAGTCAAAGTCTTGTATTAGTAACAATACTATTTTTAATTTCTGGTTATGTTTCCTAGTTTTGAGGAGCACGGCATTGATTTAATGCTGTGGTGATACTTGAACAGTACCCAGCTACTTGAAAAATACCTGTACAGAACTCCTTTGGAGTTTAAATTTACTTGTTTCAGAGAAGCACCTTGGAAAAAAAATAATACTGCCTAGTAAACCACATCAAAATTGTGGAATTTTTCTGGGATAAACCAGCACAACTGGTAAAAGACAAAGAGTTGTCAGAACTCAAAATGGCCAAAACAAAAATAACTATTGGTATTTATCCTATTTGTATAATATTATAAACTTTTATTTTAATCTTTCCTCTGTGTTTCAGTTTTTTCAGGGGAAAAAAAAAAGTTTTCGATCTTTGATGGCCACTTACTACTCCCAAATTTAATCATCAAGGTTTATTTTAATTGATATATTTGGTTTAAAAAAAAAAAAGGCAGCCTGAAAACCAATGAACTCTGGACTTAAACAAATGTATTACAGAATACATTTGTAACACGACTGTTACTTTTTGCTTCATTGACTGTTTTCAAAAAAACTCCAGTGTTTCTGTTGTTTCTGTTTTATAGTGTTTTATAGCAAGCTTGTTCAGCCTATTGTATATGTTAGGATCTCTGACGTCTCACTTCTGTCTTGCAGGCGTACCAACGTTTACAAATCCAGCAGCAGATGTTACAGGCTCAGCGTAATGTTTCCGGACCCATGAGACAACAGGAGCAGCAAGTAGGTTTGCCTGCCAGTTCAATTAGAGCTTGGTTCCAGTAGCTTAAAGCGATTGTACTACATTATACCAAAGCAGCTAAAGCATCCTTAGAAACTGTAATATAGTGCATGGCTCGAGTATTGAAAAGGAAACAGTGCTAGAGCAATAAAGCTATTTCACAGCATTCAGTTACTGGAGGAAAGCTCTTCAACCCTTAATACAATCAATTTTTATTTGTAAAGACAACTGTTGTGTTATTTCACTGTAGAGAAATGCAGAAGAAATTGAGTGTCTTTTTGTTCAATTGAGCATTTATTGATTCTTTTTCTTGCCAGGTTGCACGTACAATCAATAACATGCAGCAGCAGATCCAGCAGCACCAGCGCCAGCTGGCCCAGGCCCTGCTTATGAAGCAGCAGCCTCCCCCTCCACATCTATCTTTGCACCCCTCTGCAGGCAAATCAGCCATGGATAGCTTTTCACCCCATCCCCAGGCTCCCGGCCTTCCTGACCTGCAGACCAAAGAGCAACAGTCTTCACCGAACACCTTTGCTCCTTACCCTCTTGGTGAGTGGCCTTCCCTACAGCAGTTCCGTATGGAAAAGCCAGAGGGAGTATATTTCATTATTTCAGCATCTAAATATTTTGCTCTGCGATGTAATAAATACAGAAAAAGAGATGTTTATTTAATAATGTTGAAATGCCAAAACAAAGTCATGGTACTACCTGCCTATCTGGTAGCTGTTTGGATGGGCTGTATATGCTCACCTTTGCTCTGCCTACAAATATCAGAACAGAAGATTTGCTTAATTAATTATTTATGTATTTTGCTATTTATAAACTAAATAAGTATTAAAAGCATCATGTTGTAAAGTGCACAGATGTCATATTGATAAACAGGAATATCATCTGGAAGTCATGTAAAGTCATCTTTCCACTCTAATCAGCTCTGGTAAGGCATCAGTTTTGGTCAGTGTATTTCAAGATACAGATCAGTTCGAAGGAACGCAGAAAGAATGTTGTGCAGATGATTAGATGTTTCAAAAACGTGACTGCTAAGATAAAAATTAAATCCTCTGCTCACTGTAGTCTGAAGAGAAGACTTAAGAGACATGCAGGAGTCTTCAGAATGTAAAAGATAGCTTCTAAGAAGTTTTCTTGCATGTGGCTAATGCAGGAGGTAATACACTTGCATAAAAGGAGATTTAGTTAAACACTAAGGATCGCTTAGTTGCTTTAATCAGAGTAGAGTACTGGGATAAATTACCTAAGAAGTTTCTGAAACCTCCTTCAGTGGTCATTTTGTGGTAGGTTAGACATAGATCTGTCAAATATGATTGATGCCAAAATAATCAATTTGACCCTGAGACAAGGTGAACAGAACAACCTTTCAGACCTGTTTTCTGCAATTGTTTGATGTGTGCTACACACATCATTTATGACATAGAAGAACTGAATTAATCTCTTTGTGACTCTCTGTGTGCTGTGTGCAATCAAATTGCCAAGCCTTATGCAGCATTTAAGAAGGTAATTCTGACTGTTACAGCAGAGAGCATCAGAAAGCCAAAGAATTTATGAATTAAAGGCCTAAGTCTAGAGACTCTTACCATATTTCAGCTTCCTGTGATCTGCTGGCATTCAGGATTATATATCAGAAAGGACCCAGATTTCTTTCACAGAAGCATTTCAAAATTATTCCTTAAATGTAGTCCGAGTGATTTCATTCTGTGTGTACAAAATATATGCCCAAATAGTATAATACCTGCTCTGATGAATAGCAGCTGTCCGTATGACCTTTTAGTTGCTTTGTTTAGGATTTTTTAAATGGTGTTAGCAAAATGAAATGGCAGACATCACAGGGGTGTGCTGGTGAGCCTTTAGGGAGTATTTTGGGTTAGCCGTGGAATTCTGCAAATTCTTCTCTGGTTTAAATGTAGCCTTCCAGGATGCCTTTTCTGGACAAGTGAAAAGACTGCCAGTAGAAATACTGACAGCTTTGAAATGTTATCCCTACATCATCTTTTCTTTTTACTTCTTAGCAAAGTTTTGTTTTCTGAATTCCTGGGGGTTATACTGGTGTTTCTATAAAAACAAAAGTTCTTGACAGCAGGTTGAAAATGTGCATTGTAAATTACTGCACATATGTACAGATGTCCGAAAGTCAATATTTAGTATTTCCTTTAGCTGGATTTTTAAACACATCTTTTAATTCACCAGTATATGATGGCTGTCTGATGATCTGTTTCCCCTTAGCTGGACTGAACCCGAACATGAATGTAAATAACATGGACATTACTGGTGGTTTGTCAGTGAAGGACACTTCTCAGTCCCAGTCTCGCCTTCCTCAGTGGACACACCCCAACTCAATGGATAATCTGTCTAGTGCTGCTTCTTCGCTTGACCAGAACTCCAGCAAGCACGGTATGTCGCGTTTAATCTCTGCGTCAGTCTGGCTTCTTGAGACTTGAGTCATATTGCAATTTTAATGTTTTTCTCATGTCACTATTTTCAGTAAGTGCTTATAAATGGTTGGTACAGAGTGCCCTTTGAGACTGTGGTATTTTTGAGATGACTTCTGCAGTTGCATTTAGCAATGCATTGAAGTGCTTGCAGCTATCACTTCTTACATGAAATGTAGGAATGTCTTTTTTCATTTGCTGAATTTTGTTTGGAATGTGGAGTTCCAAGTAAAACAAGCTAGTTAGTGTTGCCAAAACAAGCCCCACAAGCGTCCCTTTACTCCACATCTGCATACCTTCAATCCCAACAAACTTTACATTGGCTTTCTCCCACAATTTTTCCAATATCATCAACCTTTCATGGCCAGTCCTGTACAAAGGCATGGTGGGTTACGTAATTACTCACCCTGGGAGTTAGGAGCACGAACTTCATATTTTTCCAGAGGTGATTGCTAATCTGTTTGAACACCTTTATCCCTAACGCCTCCAGTATCCGGAGTCGTTTATTCCTTTTATTTCCTGTACCAAGTTTATTCTGTTAGAACATGGTGCTGTGTTAACTTTATTGTATCCTGGATTTTAATATGAGCAGCATGAATTACTACTTTCACAATAGTTTTTTATTCTGCAAATAGTTGTACTGCTTATGCCAGATTGTGGTGTGATAGTTTGTAGGAACATGAGAACGACCATTTCAAATCATCCATCCCGTCAGCAATGAAGAGCAAGAGAAGAAAGAGAAGAGGGCTTGCCTACAGTGATACTCCTTAGTGTGCTGTCTCAGCACATTCTTGCTTACCATCAGTGTAGTTATTTGAATTGCTTACTCTCTTTTTGGCAGTAATGTAATGTGAATTTCTTTAACTCAAGTGTCTAGATTGTACCAGTGGTGAATCTCACTGCTGTAAATCCTAGCAAGGCTTCAGAGGCTGTTGAGCTTTGCTTACTGTGTTTATATTTTAGTTCTCTTTTTTTATCTTTGTAATACAGAAAGAAAAAAAAGAAAATAACAAATTCTAGGGACTGAGGAAATTCCACACCCAAAATTAGTCCCACTTCTAAACCAAGCCTTTCCATTTCATTATTTACAGGTGCTATACCTGGAGGTTTAAGTATTGGTCCTCCGGGAAAGTCCTCCATTGATGACTCTTATGGCCGGTATGATCTGATTCAGAACAGTGAATCGCCCGCCAGTCCGCCCGTAGCTGTTCCTCACAGCTGGTCACGTGCCAAAACCGATAGTGATAAAATTTCCAATGGCTCCAGCATAAACTGGCCACCAGGTAACAAAATGCAAAGCCTTTGTGTTAAACTGATGTCTGTAAAACGTAGTGTTGGTTTTACTGGTTGTATCCTCATGCCTTCTGATACACAGAAACTTTGGAAAATTGTGACTTCATATACTCTTGTTGTTGTTATGTTTGAAACAGAGTTTCATCCAGGAGTGCCATGGAAAGGACTGCAGAATATTGATCCTGAAAATGACCCTGATGTTACTCCTGGAAGTGTTCCAACTGGGCCTACCATCAACACCACGATACAGGATGTTAATCGCTATCTTCTCAAGAGTGGAGGTAAACACACTAATCACTTTGACATCTATGTATACTTTCTTTTTTCTTTCTAAAAAAGTTGACTTCTCATATTATGGATTTAGTATATTTTTGCATGTATTCCCAATCTAATAATGCTTCTGCACTGAACTTTCACTGAAAACCCAGAAATACTTGATTTAAATATAGAACTAAGAAGTTTCTGGTTTTCCATGGGAATGTAAATATTTTTATATTGGAGAAGGCTGTGAAATGCAATACCAACTTCTGTGGTCACTGGAAATCTTTATAACCTTGTCACACTTCGTTTTGAACAAGATTTTGCTTTCTGTACTGACCAGCCTCCTACATGCACCTTATGAAATACTCAGAAGACACAATACAGAAGTTCCACGGTTGTTGCTGGGGCAGCAGGCTTCTGTCACGCTAATTAATTGTTGCTGTGTTAGAAGATCAGTCAGCAAAATAAATCAGAGCTGTTTTATCCCCAAAACCATCAAAGAAAAGAAAAAATAGGGAATTGACTAGTAAACTAGTATTTCCCAGTGCCATTTGCATTCCTTTTGTCTTGGCAGTGCTTACTTCAGAATTAAAAGGGTGTTCTCTAAAAAAATAAACCATTTGGACTGTGCTACTTGCTAACTGGGTGTATTGAAAGTGGACTGGTGGAAAGGTGGCTTGATCTAGTCGTGATCAGCGTGCTGAAATAGGCGAGTTATCTGCACTCTAATAGAGTGCTCTGCCGTGCACAGGAATAGCATTATCAGGTTGTCAAGAAGGACCTGTCAGGATTAAAATTGTGGATTTTGTTCTAATAGTCACATCTGTGATACTTACATAGATTGTAAATCAGAACTGACCTTAAAACTTGTTTCCAGCTCTGGACTTGTTAACTCAGGTGAAGGGATGTGAAACACAAGGGAGAGGAGGCAGGCGTGTTCATTGCCTTGAATGAGTTTAGTTGTCTCGTACCAGGAAGCAATCTGTATTTAAACTGAAACATGAAGTATTCTTGTGCATGAGTAATGTTGAATTAAGTTTTAATGACCCAAATGTACTTCAAAGAACAGGCAACCTCGATGGTTTGAAGTTATAGAAAGAAAAGTAGAATCATAGAATCAGAATATAATAGAGTTGTTATGGTTGAAAAAACCTTTAAGATCACCTAGTCCAACCATGGGACTATAAAGACATAATTTAGTCACAGTTCAGATGTGGTGCACACACAGAACACTCCCTTTAGACCAAAAGTCTAGCCCTACAGAGCTGTACATGTAGGTTAGATGATAACTACTACGTGTCTTCCTTTGTTATAGAAGGAAAGTATAAATTAGGTTTTTTTTGATGTATATAATATGTCTGTGGAATGAAGAAACAATTACGCTACTTAGAGATGGTCAGTATAGATGATCTTTGTGGATGTCAACAGGCCCTCAAACCACAGTATTTTGAAAAGCAGTGACTGTTGAGGTCCATGTATGCTTCCTTTACTCCTTAGCTTTGTAGCTTGTTAATAATACACCTTTACTAAAAATGTAGTCACTCCATTTAAAGGGCTGGTGTAAACTGTCTGCACTTGCACTGTGCACTTAGATCAAAAGCTTAGGTTTTGTCTTTCGGGTTGATTTTTGTTTTACTCTGTTTGCTGATGAAGCTTTGCAAGGTTGGCTAGTATGAGCTAAGTCTTAGCCATGTGGAATCAGGAACAGTTTCAGCTCTGTGGGCCTTTTCCATCTGATAGAATTCCCTAACTGCTGCCTGGGGAATTGATTTTTCCAGAGAAGGTTTAGATACAGAGTTATTTTACTCGAGACTGGTATCTGTATTGGTGTCCTATGGAGTACAGTGAGTCTGGATAAGGTAAAGTTCGGTTGGTTGCTGTTCCAGTTGAAAATACAGCCTGTGTTTGTTACTGAGCTGGGATGAACGAGATTGTTCTTTTACTTCCTCCCTTCTACCTCAGTACAGCACTCTTTTCCAAAGAACTCGCCTATTTTTATTAGTCAGTTAAAGATGTTTCAGTATCACAGTCCATCTATGCATGTCAGGAATGATAACTCACCTAGGATACACACTTAAATTTGTTGGGTGGCTAGAGAGAATATTTCCAGCTCTTCTGGCCTTTATAATGAAGATATTTTATTTTATGTTCAGTTTCTTTCATTTGCTGCCAGTAAGGAAATTGTATGTATGCCTAGATGGCTTCTCAGATTGTAAATGATTTACCAAGATGGTTTCAGGCTATTTCATTTAATGTTATCAGTTTGAGGGGAGATTGCTAAAATTTATCCTTGGTTTACTGAAAGTCTGCAAAAAACTAAAGGTGTTTGTGGGTATTAGGATGTAGGAGAAGTGCTTACCTTGAGTAATCTAGGACAAATCACCCATGGTAGGAGGTTAGTTTATCATACACATCTCTGCTCATCTAGAGTGGCCATTGCCTAAGTCAGCCGACAGAGCGCCTTTATAACTGAAGCCTGTTCCTTGAGACTAAAGAGTATATCGCTGATTTTTTGAGAGAGTCACCTATCTTAAAGGAAATGCAGAATTCATCTTCTGCACAGGTGCTAGTGCATTTACTACTGTGCCAGCTTTTTCTTTTCTACTAAAGACTTCTGCTTCACTTTGTCATGCTTTCTATAACATTTCATTCCTAGATTTCAGAGACAAGGCTGATTAAGGAAAATGCCTTGCATGGTTTGTATTTGCACATAATAGATTGGCTTGTGTCACACCAGATATCATTATGCCCATCTTTCTTAGTTGCTTCTCTGCTGGTTCTGCAGGGTCATCCCCAACATCATCTCAGAATGCCACGCTGCCTTCATCGAGTGCCTGGCCGCTTAGTGCCTCCGGCTACAGTAGCTCTTTCAGCAGCATTGCATCCGCACCTAGCATTGCAGGTACGAAAAATGGCCTTTCTATTTTCGCATCCTTCTGCATTCCAAGAAAAGGCCCTAGAAAATGCTTTCCGGTTATTACGATAGTGCTACTTTAGACAGAAATATATATTTTTTAGTACTGTGCTAATTAGGCAGCTCTGCAGTGGTGAGCATTGGATGGTACACCTGGAATTGTGCTAAGGAAAAATGTATTTATTTCACTTGATGCCATGTGCTGTCACTCTGTATTGGCATTGAGGTCTCTTCATGACTATTTCTATTGCAGCTTTGAGGAGGAATATTGTCTAGGACCTCAGTAGAAACACCCCTACAGTAAGAGCTGATACAAAATTTTTGTTAATAAACTCACTGTTAAAAGTGAACCACCTTCAACTCAGGAAAAAGTTTAGTAGTACCTCATGGACATACTCTGCACGACTCTGGAGGGGGGTTGGGTTTGGGGCTCTTAAATATCTTCTCATAGTCAATCCAAAGCCTGATGTTCCTCTATATGACTGAACTTGCAGATGATCTGAGTAATTATCCCACTGTTTAAATGAGCTATAAATTCTGGATCACCTCTCTGCAAATCAGGGATACTTTGCTTGCAAACTGGCTACCTAAATATCCAGTTTGTCCCATTATAAAAATGTGTTGGGGCTGTTGTGTGGATTGCGTCAGCGTTTTCATATCTAATCAATGAAAATCCTCCACTTAGAATAAAGGGAGGTGCAACCTCCAGGTCATGCTGCAGAATGCAAAACAGAAAGGGGTTTGTTTGAAATGTTTTATGCCAGTGGAAGGAAAAGGGACGAATGGCTTGCTTTTCTTTTATCTGCCATGCATTTCTGCTTTTATTTGCTTTTTATTTTTTTGCAGTGTCATCTAATCTTTGTGTTAACCCCATGAGAAGTAGTGACATAGCAACATGTAATCTGCGGTAACGTGCGCGTATCATGTGCTACTGCAGGCTGAGCTGCTCTGAGTTCTAAAATTCAGACTTCTCCCTTTTTCCCCACCGTTTTACCCTGTTAATGTCTTCCTCATCATTGTCAATTTTTTTTGTTGTTGCTATGGTTTGCAAGAAGATGGGAGAGTTGTTGTCCTTTCATTTAAATTATTATGGTTCAGTATCAGATCATTGAGTTAAATTATAGCAATAAATAGAAGCAGTTTGGGGATTGTGTATAACTGAGGCTGTGATTTGGTGACCGGTAAATTTGGCTTTAGGACTAATAAAAATAAACTCAAAGTTTAAACTGATGCAAAGCACTGATTCACTGTAACTTTAATTTACCAGTTCACGTCTGTTTTGGTTTTTATTTTAAAAGTCAAGATTTTTGCATCTCAGACTTTGTCAGACTAAATGGTGTTTTACTTTGTGCAGCCAGCATGAAAGCATTAGTGCAGCATTATCACGATGCCATTTGCTCTGGCAGTGATGTGACCATTTCAGTCTATTCCAGTCAAACACTTGTTGCTGTTAGAAGCAGTGGGACTGTGCAGTGACAGGGAAATTGGACTTTTAATTTCACAATGAATGTGTTGGTAGAAGGAAGAAAGGCAGAAGGTGACCAAACGGTTTGGTTTTGGTATCTATAATTTGAATCAGTTTTATCTGTCACTCTGAATGCTAAACTGTATTTGTTTTTCTTGATTTTTGTATTATTTTATAAAACTGTTTTGGCAGGAACAGTAGTGAGATAGTTCAAAACCGATTAGGGAAGTAACAAACTGAACAGTAAGAAGTTACACAGAGGGACAGGTTGTGATCTGTTCTCATCTTCCAAAGACTGCTTTTCTCAAAGACACCTGGGGAAAAAAAAAAGTATCTTTTACTTTGACTATTCAAAAATAAAGTTTTTGTTGGTCTTTGATCTTTGGAATTTTAACAATACATCAGAAGAACATATGGGTATTCTTGTTACTTTATATTAGGTAGAATGAACTGTGTAAGATAAAGTGGTTAAGTTCTATTAAACTTTCAGGGAAACAATCTTGAAGTGTTTCATTTTAATACTGATGAAATTAGATTTCAAATACGTAAGCCCATTTTCTGGTCTTTTTTCATGTATTGTCTTTTAGAAGAAAGTGAAATAGGAGATTTTAGAAAGGGAACTGTATATGTAGCAGGTGTCATGAGATTTCATTAGATATAAAATTCTTGTAAAATGTAAATTCTAGTGTAAGTAGGTATGAAGGATATAGAATTGATGTCTGGATGGTGCAGAATGCTATTCTTTTCTCTCCTGAAAAGCTGGAAGAAAATAGTCAATGCAGAAGCTTGAGGATTACCCATTCTACTTGGTTTAACAGTTGTTACTGACTAAAAATACACAAATGTGTTTTCTCCTATTGCAGGTAAATTGTCAGACATCAAGTCTACGTGGTCCTCTGGCCCAATCTCTCACACCCAAGCCTCTCTATCCCATGAACTCTGGAAGGTACCCAGAAACACTACTGCTCCTACGAGACCACCTCCAGGCTTAACAAACACCAAGCCATCATCTACGTGGGGTGCTAGTCCCCTGGGTTGGACCAGCTCTTACTCCTCTGGTACCACAGCACCTTCTTTTCGTAGTTCATTGTTTTTATTTTGTGTTACAATAGTGGGGCACCCCACAGCTGTGTGTCAGGCTGCAGAAACTTGAGGTTTAATACAAGGAAGATGAGGATGAAGCTCATGTCTGTTTAGTTTAATTAGGAAAAGTTGTAAAAATGAAGCTGTCGTCTTTCAGGTGTTCATGTTAGTAATTTTATGTAGGAATTGCCAAATTCTTTAACTCCAACTAGGATTTTTTTCCATTTCCTGAATTTCTAAAAATGTCTTTGAAACATGTTTTTTGTTTTGTGGTATGATCTATGACTGCCTATGAGGCTTCAAGAGGAGTGAATCAGACCGTGAATTTAATGTGAAACACATTTTTGGCACATAGATGTGAAGCATTTAGGACCTGATGGCATTGCAGGGCCCTCAGGGAATGTCTTAATTTTTTCATGCAGACTTTTTTGGTCATTTTTTAGCTTAAATACAAATATGAGAAAGCATAGAAATGGCTACATAAATATATATTTATTTATGATGTTTGTGAAGTGTTGTCAGCTTCAACATATTATACCTATTTTATAAAGCTGACAGTTTTACTAATCTGCTTTCAATAAATTGGGAATTAAATATTCTTCCCTCTTCTTGCCTTTATTTTGTATCTGTTTTCTTCACCAAAACCCCACCTGGTGGGCAGATATTGTTGGTGCCAGGATTCTCTGGAGCCTGAGTGTGGTCACGCATGTGACTACAGAAGTACTGCCGTTTCTCAAATGCTACTCATAAATACCATGCTTGTACAGTTTCTCATTGTAAAGCACCAGGCTGAAGTTGGAAAAGCAGGTTTTGTTGGTTATGTCCTTGTATCTTTAATCGGAACACTGTCAGTGCAGAAATATCTGTTTTGAGTAAGTCACATACATTATTCAATCATTGGCAAGATAGCAGAATGCTGCAGTGCTATAAAAATCTTTAATAGCAAGCAGCAATCTGAGCTTGGACATTTGAATTGCTTTTAAAATGGCTCTTTCAGATTAATTCTAATGTAGCCTGAAGATAGTTTGTTGCTGTGTCATACCTGCATCCACTAGTTTTCTACTAGTTATTGTGGGAATGTGAAAAATGCCACAGACCTTTTAAATGGAACAAAAGCAGGTTTTTATTCAGCAACCTTTCATTGCAAAGACAACAATAAATCAAGATGTGAGGAAACTGCTGTAGGATTTGTTTTCAGTAGCAATAATGCTCGCTGGTGTGCTGTGATTCCAGATAAGTTTTCTTTATGTAATATGCTCTCCGCATCATGATAAAAGGTTTTGTTGTGGGATTTGTATTGTAGGTTCTGCATGGAGTACTGACAGCTCAGGGAGAACAAGCAGCTGGCTGGTTCTTCGAAACCTCACACCCCAGGTAAACAGAATTGTGCATCGCTAGTTACGAAATGAGATGTACCACATTTAAGAGATGATAAGAACAACATTTATCAACCTTGGTCATTTGGGTCATTTGAAGGGAAAATAATTATTCTGCATTTATTACAAGTGTCTGTCTTCTACAGGGAATCTTAAGTTTTCAAAGTGCTGTCAAATCAAGTATGAACTTTTAAGACTGTAATTAGTCATTCATTATGCACATTGTGTATGTGTAAGTTTAGGGATGAATGATGATTTAAAGCAGATTCAGATGTGAAATATGTTGGGTTTTTTTCCCCTATGGGGTTTTCTTCTCCTGAGTCTGTTAGGTCTTCTCATCCTCCACATAGTGGCATTTACAAGGAAGAACATAAGCCACAAAGCCTTGAATGTAGACATCCAAATTAATCTTGGGGAAAACTTAGATATATTTTTGAACAATGCTTTTTTCCTTTGACTTATTTCTGGATTTCTGTGGACTTCTAATGATAAGTACAATTTGTATTACCTAAATTTGGAAATTTTGTGCACTGGACTGTAGGAAAGCCTTAAAAAGACAGGATGTATGGCTCAATAAAGACAGTCTTAAGTCCATAATAAATTTTTCTTATGTAAGAAAAAACTTTTTTCTTTCTTTCATTTATACATACTCTTTAGTTCTTAAAACTTCTTTAGTTGATAAGCATTTAAAGTAAAATCAAAACCATACGGATAACCTTTCCCCCTTGCCTCCTACCAGATTGATGGTTCCACACTGCGGACACTGTGTTTGCAACATGGCCCTCTAATAACATTCCACTTGAACCTGACACAAGGGAATGCTGTGGTCCGATACAGTTCCAAGGAAGAAGCAGCCAAGGCCCAAAAGTCTCTGCATATGTACGTTTCTGCTCTCTTTCCTTTCCAGTTTTATCTCAGAAACTATTTTCTTAGGCATTTATTTGCTAGGACTTGGAAGTGATCACTAGTTAGTTTAACCTCATTTTGAAAATTACCTAAAGAGAGAAGAAGTAATTGGGGACTAGATACTCATGTACTACTGAATAAGAGGTCATTACAAAACTTGAGAATATGACGTTCACCATCAATAATGTGCTCACTAAGGATCTGTCACCCATAAGGCTGCAAAGAATTTGGAAGATACAATAAGAATTCCAGAAGAAGCATGAGACAAGGTTTTAGCTTTAGGGAGCAACAGAAAGTACAGAACAATGATAAATAAAGAATGTGTTCATGGTGGTCACCTTTTTTGAAGGAGTTATGAAAGAAATTGAAAGAAATGTATGACAACAAAATGTTCTTTTTAGGTGTTTTAAAATCATAACTGGCACGCTACGCAAGAGCTAGAGAATTTGAGTGATAAAATCAGTGACATTAGGGAGGATTAAGAATATAGACACCGATGTTTCAAAAGAGTACTTAGGTGCTTAGAGTTGGAAAGCAATTTTATTTTCAGGTTACAGCATGAGTATAATGAAAAATACTGAACACAGCAGAACCACCTTCTGGAACGAGCTGTGCCACTGGCCTGATTACCTTCCCTGTACTTGGAGATTTAGGAGTAATGATTACTCCATATGTAAATTTGCAACTACTTTTCCATAATGAACCTACAGACTAACTGAAATTGTAGTAGTAATAATTCTATTAATGACCATGTTGCATTTTTAACTGTTGACCATTCCTTAATTAACTATTATGAAGCAGCATTCAGAACAATTGGAGATGAAAAATGGATGCATCTTAATTGCACCACTTCAGATTTGGGCATTAGGTAAAAGAAATAATGCCAAAGGCGAAATTAATATGCTGGTTTAAAGATAAGTGCTTATTTTAAATATATACATGACAGCGTCCTTAAATTAGCAGTAATCTGGAAGGTCTCAGTTTAAATTACTTTATTAAATAGGTTGCTGGCGTAACTGTGGCTATGCTGCTGGCAGAGACAGGCCAGACCTTTCTGAATGAGATGGGCTGAGCTATAGCTGCGGTTGGTTTGCTGGCACGGTGACAGCGGCGAGAGACAATGGGATTTGTGGCAGCCAGCGGGACAGCGTTACAGTTCCAAGAGATATCAGGCACACTCTGTTCCACAGAGAAGTGCTTACATGGAGGTGATCACTGGGAAATACACCACAGAGCCAACAGTGTCAGAACCCATCGGATTTGATATGAGAATAGCTTGCTCACTCTCCATCTCTGGGTGTGTGTCTCGGGCTTTTTGGCTATATAAATTAGGAGCAGCAGTGATTAATACTTTTTGAAAATTAATTTAAGATTTTATCAAGAATGTGTAGTTTTCAAAGTGTTTGCATCTCTACACTTACGTATTTAGGAAAGGTATAAAATTTTAATATGTGATTTTCAGCAAGGGGCATTTGCACAAACCCAGCCTGTGGTTTAGGTGACTCTCAAAAAAACAGTTGTAAACACGGTTGCATTCCAACAAAAGCATAGTTTTTAATGTGTATGTTTGAAGTTGCCATTGCCATACAGTGGTGAGACTGAGCTAATACAGAGAACCTGGAGGTTTAGGCAGGTAGGTTTATCTTCCATTTTTCTTTAAAGGATGTCAGGTTGTGAAAGAAGTTCTAATATAAAATAAAAGCTTGGTTCTTGGAAGTGTTCTGCATCCATTGCATTAGGCATGCATTTATTCTTGTCACATGTATCCAAAGGAAATTAATTTTAAATGTGCTATTAAAGAAAAGTGAGGTTTCAACAAATAAGGTGGGGAGAAGAAAAAACCTTCAGTTTTGTAGAACATTGGTCAGTTGCATTGAAGTACAAATCAGTTTTCAGAATGCAGGTGTTAGGAATGTGTTTCCAAAACAGCCAGTGGCTTTCAGGAATATCTTTAAATAAAAACAGGAATAAGCATTAGACATAGATTTGAACTGCATGTTGAAGAGTTAAACATTGTGATGGGATAAGGCCCTTGAACACATGACAGTGTACTTGTTTGTTACGTGTCAAAAAAAGGGATTAATCTCTCAGCTTTCTGAGTCTTTAAATCTTCTGAGAATATTTTAAAAAGGAGAAGGAATTACACACCTCATGGTCTGGAGCTGCTTTGCTACATTAGATGATCTAGATTTTGTATCCTGCCTTTTAGTAAAGCAAAGAGCTGTACAGGTCCTAGTGCTCAGAAATTACAGAACTTACAACATTTATGTAAAAGTAAAAATGAGGAAAGGAGGCAGTGTTATCAGATGCTTCAGAACAGACTTAGCATTTCAGCCTTTGCGGTAACTGAAAATGTATCACTGAGTGTGATGGCTTTAGACCTCCTGAAGTGCAAGGTGTCTGAATTAAAGAGAAATACACTTCTTTTCCTAGTTAGTTGATTTTAAAATGCACAATAAGTTATTTAATCTGTTGTAGAATTTACGTTCTACAATATATTATTTGATGACAAATGGAAGTGAATAGTTTTCGAACATGTATTATAAATGCATCGTTATTGGTGTCATTTGTTACTGATAATTCTGGTATGCTTGTATCTTTATGCCTAAATGGAGTCCAGCTTCCCATGATGCACATTAGTTAAATGAGGTGGTCTCCATACATACAACTTGGTGTTTTGTTTGCATGTGGATGTAGAAAGGTAAATAGAAAATGGGACAGAGATGTCTTTGTTCAAGAGAGTGGGCTTGCTAAAAGTGTGCAGATGCGGCATGAATCTTCATCTCAAATTCACCTGGGGGAAAACAGATTTCTATCTATCTTAGGTATTTCTGAAAGCACCCTTTGCACCCCTTGTTTCACATCGCTACACCTTTTCTTTCCACCCTCAGGTGTGTCCTGGGAAACACTACCATCCTGGCCGAGTTTGCTGGCGAAGAAGAAGTCAACCGCTTCTTAGCACAAGGCCAGCCCCTGCCGCCCACCTCCAGCTGGCAGTCCAACACTGGAACCAACCAGAGCCGCCTGGGCTCCTCCAGCGGCTCCCACGCCTTGGTGCGCAACGACGCCGGCCACTGGAACGCTCCCTGCCTGGGGGGCAAGGGGAGCAGCGACCTGCTGTGGGGTGGGGTGCCTCAGTACTCCAGCAGCCTTTGGGGACCCCCGAGCGCCGACGACGGCAGAGTCATTGGAAGCCCGACACCTTTGAATACTCTTCTTCCAGGTGATCTTCTCAGCGGGGAGTCCATCTAGGAGACAAGAGAAACAAAATGGAAATAACAATCATCAGCACTAAAGGAAAAAAATAAAAAAAAATTGTAACCCTTTCCAGTCCCGGGCTTGATGAAGAATCCAGCTTTAACAGATCAGACTGGCAGCCCTTTTTTAGTACCTCTGTCCAATATCGAATATGAAACTGCAGAAGTCCTTGTGAACTGTTCATGAAACAGTATGGGCTACTTTTGGTCAGTGTCACGTGCTAATGACAGGTTTTATTTTTTTCATGGCTTTTTGTTTTATGTTGTCTTTTTATGTTTGTATGGTGATTTTCAAAACAAAGTATAAAAGCTGCTTAGAATAGGTCTATCATGAAGGGCACTTTTCAGAATTTGGGCTGGAAAGGGTTATTTTATCAACTGGGGTTGGGGTGGGAGGGGAAGGGGGAAATGAAAGCCTATTTAAAATGAGCCTGTGACTATTATGCACATTACCAGAGGCGGAGCCAATAATCAGAAAGGGTGAAGTGTGATATTTACTATTGGTACAGAAAAGTCACGAATCTGAATGGTAACTCCTGACTGTACAGGTTGAGTGGGGGGGAGGGAGGGAAGGGCTGGGGTATCTCTGTGTCCACTACTCCCATGGATCTGCCTATGCACATTACCCTTGTTTCATTACTTTTTCATGTCATTTTTTTAATCCCAAAAATATAAAAAGTAAAAAAAAAATTAAAAAAAAATAAAAAAGACACAAAAAACCCAACAAAAAAACCCACATATCAACATGCAAATACTTGAATCCAGCAGGCCAATAACAAAATGTGAACACTTTCTAAGTCTAATTATTACACTTCCAGGTCGGCATCAGTACACAAAAAACAGGCTCTAAGCATTTTTTTTAAAGTTCAGACTACATGTTTTTGTTGGAACAGGTGTATGTATGTGAGCGTGCTCGTGTGTGTGTGTGTGCCCACGTGTGGTTTACCTAAAAGTGTGAGTTTTTTCCTTTTATTCAGTATATGCTTTTTATTTGCTCATTGGTCAAATGTTTAATTGTTATTAGCTTCTAACTTTGCACTGAGTGTCCGCAGCCCTTCTTGTAGCTAATCCTATAATGATAAAAAGTAAAAAAAAAAAGTAAAAAAAAACAAACAAACTGATAGAAGGGGCTGGCGACAATTCACGTGTAAATGTTTACTCAAGGACTCTTATCGCATTTTAAAAATTACAGTGTGTATCTCTGGAGAATAATATGTATATCTACCTTTAGCGGCTTTTTATTGTGGACTAATGCAAGAAAATTATTACCGGAGTATTGCACCATTTTTCCATTTGGAATATAAAGTTTAAAAAAAAATACTCTTGTTGAACTGTGGCCATAGATAATTGTAAAGAGTGGATAGTTCCCTTGCAAGCAGGAACAGAAACAAGCACTTGGACATGGGTTTTGACTGCTTTTGGAGGAGCCAGGAGTTTTGGCTCCCACCTGTTTACAGACCTTTTTTTCTCCTTCAAACTTTAAAATAAAAAAGGAATTAAAAAAAAAAAAAGAAAAAAAAAAAGACTTCCATCGTAAAGAAAACTATTTTCAGAATGAAGATATGCTACTTCAGAGCTCTGGGATTGAACAGTGTTGTTGTATTATTCTTTTCTTTGGCCATTGCTGTGTACTATTTTTGTTGTTGTTTTCCTCCTCTTCGTCAAAGTGGCGAAAACTTTGTGATCACTATCTTGCACATGGTGGAAGATGTCTCAGGAAAGCCGGGTTTCCCGAGGAGCAACTCCACACCATTTCATGTATTTTTAAAACCCAACTCCTAGCACTGAAGATATTATTAAAAAACAAAATAAAATAAAAAAAAGACAGTAAGAAAGAAGAAAATACCTAATCTAATGTGTAGCAGTTACATATTTACCAAATAATGGACTCAAAAGAAATAGATGTTTGAAGAGTGCTTTATATATTAAAAAATCGCTTTATGTTTAAAAAAGATCAATGTTTTTGATTGTTTTGAAAGGAAGAAAGACAATGGAATAACATACACTTCAAGTATGTTTTAAAAATTATATGAACATTGTGCTCCCTTGCCTGCTTGGATCAGGAAACTTGTGCATTACTTTTTTTCTTTTTTTTGGGGGGAAGATTAGCTTTTTAATGGTTTTATCAGATTAGATTTAAAGGGTCCTGCAAGATTGCAAATTAACAAAAGCTGGTTTTATAGAGGATCATGAACTATGCACAAACTGGGTTCAAGACTTGTTTTTTTTCTCAAGTTTTAGTAGTGTATTTAGCTGAATAACCTTTCCTCAGAGTAATTGCATCTCATTGCCATTACACGCCTCCTACATATATATATTTTATATATATATACACACACACACTTATATAAAATATGTATGTGTGTATGTGCGTGTTTACATACAATTTTCCATGCTGAAGTTTAGCATTGAGTTGTAGAAAAACTCCTGATATTTTCAAATTGGGAATGAAAATTTCTGTTCGGGGGTTTGGGGGGTGGGGTTTTGTTTTGGGGCTCTTTTTTTTTTTTTTTGCCTTTTGGATTAAAGATGTCTGTAACTCTGAGATTAAAAACAAACAATTGTGGCTTTTAATGTTTATTCTCCTCATAGAATGTGATTGTTAAAGAACATGCACCGAAAGTTGCTTTCAAGAGTACGAAGATTCTTTGAAACTTAATAAATTGCAGTTTTTTCTTGGCTGTTCAAATAATGTGTATTTTTCTTTTGTGCAGGGGATACTAAGGAAAAAAAAACCACTATATTGTTAAATCTGTTAAAGTATTTCATGGAAGAAGTTTAACTCTTTCAATATTAATAAGAATTAAGTGTACGGCCAGGCGAATCACTCCTGTAAGTGTAGTCACGCACTTTGACTCTGTGCTTGTTGCTGGTGGCATTTCCATACGCTTGTACCATGAACGCTTTGCCTGTTGCATCCAAAAGTGTGCTGCATAAAAAAGCAGTCATCTTTTTTTGTTAGAATTACGTTTTTTCTCATTTATTCGTGTCTTCAGTAGGTGAATTGTTGATGCTTTGAATATTGCGAGGCTGGGGCTGCAGGCTCCTCTCCAGCTTTCCCGTTTTCTGGACCTGGATGTCTCTGGCTCTGAATTGCCAGTTCCACTATGTTTTATGAGATAGGCAAATAGCCCTTAAGTAAAATAGCGTAGAAACACCCAAATATTTTCATGTTTGGCCTTTCAGGCTTTGGAATCAAGGGAGACACTTGCAGTGGCTAACGTTTGGCAGAGGAGGTGAATCACAGAAGGTTTGTGGAGGCACCTAAACTTGCTCCATCTCCCTTATCTAAAGATGAGCCCACTTTCTCCTCCCACCTCCGTAAGCCCAGTTCTTCACCTCTCAGTGACGTTGCAATTCCTACTGAAAGCGCGATTTATAGCAGGTCTGGCCCCAGCTCTCCAGGGCTTGTGAGTTCGTACAGTAAAACTGAGGCCACTAATTAATTTGAGGAGGAAATAAAACTAATGGGAAGAACTGAATTAATAAAGCAGCTCACAGCCCTCATCAGCCACCTGCACTGTGACTCCAGCCCAGCCCTTCTGTCACGGGGGTTATCAGCTGCTCTGCCATAAGTGTATCTTTGGTAAGGAATGAGGCGGGGGGAAGCCAAGCAGCTCTCGAGAGTTTGTTGGCAGATAGGATACAGTTAAAAATCATCAAATCTAGATTTGGTACCTAAACAGCTAAAACACCCAGTCTGAAGCCTGTGCTGCTGATTTTGTTACCAATACAGCCCCAGAGTTGCACAGCTGTTGCCGTGGTTGTGTTTTACTGTGAGCTGCTCCTCCAATTCTTTTTTCCTCTTCTAGGTGTTTGTTATGAAACTCTTTTAAAGAGGGTTGCCTTCTCTTTTCCTTCCTTGTTTTTTTGTTTCGTTTGTATTTTGTCTGGGTTTTTTCCTTAGTAAGGAGGACTTTTGAGTTTCAGTGTCCCTGGGTTTTGTTTGCCTGGACATCAAAGTCCATTTCGGAGCCGGATGTTTTGGCTAACGAGAGCTTTTGTCTTCCATGAGGTTGGCAGAAATGGATTTTTGTAAATCAGATGCACTCTTAAAATTTAATATCCACCTTGATATATTAAAAGAAATAGAGCTTTTGGCCAAAATCAGTCTTTTAGTGTTCACGTAGCTCTTCTTATTTTCAGTGTCATACTCTTTTCTGCTTTAATGCTATCCAGTATTTCTGAAATTGTAAAGATAGCGTATGGCTCCAGAATCTTTACAAGAAACCTTTTTACCAATTTGTCTTTTTCTGTATATTGCATTTACTGTATCCTCTGTAGCACTTTCACTGCATGGCTCCCCTGTCTTTAGGCCAGAGAATTTCTCTTTCCTAAGTGGTCTGAAACTGTCAGACTTCTTAGTTATTGTCTAGTTTGTGGGTGGCACTGGCAGAGCAGATCCTTTTGCTGTTCTGCTCCAAAAATATATTACTGTTCTTGATGATTCTATATATGATTGTGTATGTGAAGGAGCATTTTAATTAAAAAAATGTATATGGCTATCTGTATATGTTAAGAATTATTGGAGTTGGAAGAGTCTGGAAATGGAATCAAAAAGCCCTTTAGGATGCGGGTGATGGGCAGCTGTAGCGTGGAGCACGCCTGTGATGCCAGATCAGAGATTGCCATGGTGAGCTGCGGGATCATCTCCTGACGTTGTATATGAACTGCTGCTAAATGTCTGTTGGAGTTCACGCTGTACAGGTGTACCAGTTGTATCGCTGTTTTGATGCTGAATGTACAACCCCTGCTCCAGTCCTGCGTAGCCACTTTCAGGGAAGGGGAGTTCTGAAAAATCAGATATCGAGCTCAACCGAACTCTGTCTGTAAACTGTACGGATGCCTGGCGTACCCCGTGTCCCCGCCAAACCCTGAGGTAGACGACAGCTCTGGAAATGTCTCTGATTCACGATGTTATCTCTAGCGGGAATTCGAAGGCGCCCACAGGCGCAGATGGTGTTAGCTCCCTGCAGGTCTCTTGAACTGTTTCACCCAGGTCCTTGCTTTGCTTCGAAGGCGGTAACGTACCCGTGAAACCTTAACATCGACGGGAGCAGCCCAGCTCTGTCCTCTCACCCTCCCCCTCATTCCCAAGGGGTCTCTTCCAGTAATACCCGCGTGCTCTTGGAATTTGGGAGAGGCGCCTCCAACACGCATCCACACCATAGCTTTCCTGAGGGAGGACGGACTGCTAATGTGCCCATGTTCTAGTGGGGTCTAGGTGTCTTCCTCCAGCGGATACACCCAATCGCTCAGGTTAACTATTGCTTGCTGCAGGTTGCCAGACTCCATCCTCCACCGGCTGAGCCCGCCTGTGCACAGACAGTCGCGTTGACCATTCGCAAGCCCTCGCGCTCCCGCCGTTTTCTTCTCTCTACTGAGAAGCGCTTCACTCG